AAAAAAAAAAAAAAAAATCTACATCTTTTTACCCTTTGCTCTGAAAATCCACAGACATGAAATGTGTAAAATATTCTATTAGAGCAGCCTTAACATTACAGAGTGGTTTAAAATCTCCGGTTTACAGAACTCAATGTTAGATTCAACCATGTCTACATTCTAGTGAAGTAAAATCAGCCAAATCTATTAATCTCCTCCCGTTTGACATAATTTTCTTATGACCTGCAACATCTAAACCCAACATTCAGTGTTTAAAATTGCATAAACTCAAAGAAACAAGCAAGTGTTCCCAACTTCCCTCGCAATTTTTATTTCATTTCATCATGTTATCTTATTGGCTTATTTCTGCTCCTTCCAATCAGTCAGCAGCTACAGAATGACACAGAGCATATAGCGCCCTCCTGTGGCGATTTATGGGTGTGTAATTCATCCCACCACGCCGCTGAGGGTGTGTCTGCTCAACCTGATGTGGTCCAGAGGTTGTTGTTTGTGGGGGCCGGGTGAACCAGAACCTGAGCAAAGCAGCGCTATTTTGTTTCAGTCAATATATCTGGACAAATACATATTTACATTGACAGATGACTTCATATACCCTCCAGAGAGATAAAGTTTGGTGTCTGTTTACCATAAAGCCATAAAAATATCCTGCAGCTTATTCAATGTTCACAGATCCCCACGTGAATTAAGTCCTTAACTCACATCAATGTGTACATATGATTAGGCCCAAGACCATGACGACAGTAAAAGCATCATCACAAATAAATCATTACATTTAAATAAAATTAATTGGTCGATGGATTAATTAGTCAGAACGTAGTTGTTGGACCAGCATTCATTTGAGCAAAAGAGGAGTCAGAAATGCATAGAGAGAACAACAAGTGTGAGAAGTAATTTGGAGTGGAAAGTGAGACGCTGTTACATACAGTCTGGTCCACGAAATTCATTTGTTATAACAGATTAACAGAAACTGTATGAGAATGTGAGGTAAGAACCCTGGTTTCTCATCCATCATCTACCAGGCTAAAAAGGACTCCCTTATGGTCCAGAGATACAGTATGTGGGCTCGCCTTGGCACGTGATACCATCCACACAGAGAGCAAGAGAAGAAACACTTATGAACGACATCTCCCCAGCTTTCTTTGACTTCTTCAGATTGAGGCTGGTGACGTGCGAAGACGCGTTCCCATCCGAGGTTTCTTCCCATAGTGGGATCAAACCGCAGTCACAGGACACGACATGCCCGATGACTGTCAGAGCTCGTCCTTCTCCATCTGCTGGAACGCCTCCAAGTCTTCCCGCCAATCAGCCAGCAGTTCATCCACTGACTGGCTGCTTGAGTCTGTGTCGCCCTCAGGCTCCTCTGTCTTCTCAGAGTCTCTCTCCTCTTTGGGCTGGGCCGAATCAGCCTCTGCCTCTGTAGGACCAGCTTCCTCTTCCGGTGGTCTAACTTCCTCTGCGGGACTAGTGTCTTCATCTACAGGACTGTCTTCCTCCGGTGCTGGCGTAACCTCCTCGGGGGCCAATTCGTCTAGCTCCACTGTGCTTATCGATTGGCCGACAGGTTCAAACGAGGTGGGAGTCGTTGCTTCAGTTAAGCAGTCTTCCTCCGCTTCTTGCACGTCCACACCTGAAAAGAAAGCAGGGGCGTGTGACTGAACAGCTTTACGGAAAAGGATGTGCACGACAAAAAGACAAACACACACACACAAACCTCTTTTCCTCCTCCTCAGTTCATAATCTATACAACATGCCCCCTGGTAGCCATTCTCAGTCAAAAATAGACCAGTTTTCATGGAGAGGCTGTCAAACATAACAGCATGATGCTGATGGTGAGTCATGTTTCCCACAGGATAAAGCCTTTCTCACATAGCTGCACAACCAAACTGAGAGTCAACTGAGAAAAGAAATCTGGCAAAAAGTTATACTGTGAATTCTGCACATATCTGGTTAGAAAAAAAGGGTATTTGACCTGTTACAGTTTCTAAATATGTAGCTGTTTCTTTAACTGCAGATTGTAAATGTGTTAAGGAACCAGTCTGTGTTTTTTATTATACAGTCGCGGGGAATACACCAAGGACTGCTCACAACTACAAAGCATTTTAGTTCAAATACAGATAGGCACAGGTTATCTGGTCAGTGTCTGTTTTGGTAAGCATCTCATCTTGACAGCAAACTCAGCTGAATACATACAAGTACATAAGTGGATAAAATCAAGACAAGCTGACCAAATACAAATTGAGTTTAACTTTTTTCCAGAGACCATGTAAACACTGTCACATGGCTTTTGTGGACAAGTTGTGTCATACCCTGCCAAACAGCAGACACACACACAAAGAGGACATAAAGAGCTGTCATGTCCAAAGCTCTGATGGGGGAAAACAATAAAACAATAAAACAATACTGTGACTGCGCCAAATTCTTCTATCAAACACAAACAAAATCCCGTGGTTTGAGGGCAGAGCGAGAGGAAGGGATAGGGGGAATGAAAGCATGACTGTAAGGAGGGAAAACGGAGATAAAGGCAAGTGAAAGGATGAAAAATGCGGTTAACAGACATAGAAAGAAGGAAAAGAATACTTACTGCCCTCAATCAGACTGCCTGGAAGAGGTTTACCTTTGAATATGGCTGCTGCTCATCCAAAGGGGAGAGGGTTATGAAAATAGAAGAGAAACCAAGAAAGAGAGGAGAGGAAAGGCACTGTTACAGTCCACCACAGGGAATAGAGGGATTTGGCAAATGAGGAAAAAGAGGAAAAAGAATGAGGATGTAATATTGATAAGGGTGTAGACCTCCACCATTATAACCACAGCTGGTGGGTGGCTTCGGGATGAGTCACGATCTCTGAGAAATATCACCTGAATCCCTACACCTCATCTTTATTTTAAGAAGTCGTAATGAGGCTCAGTCAGCGGAGAGAGATTAATACACTGATGTGATCAATCTTATCGAGAGACGGGTGGAACAAAGCGAGGAGGCGTATGAGGGTATAATGTCACACCTCTGTCTCTGGCTTTGTCGCTCAGAAGCACCTCCACCTCCCTGTACTCCTTCAGCGCCTCCAGCAGGATGTTGCCCTCCTTATGGAAGAGGAAGAGGAGAGGCAAGGTGACGTCATCTGTGTTGCGGCCGTCCCCTGCCATCTGAAACAGGGGAGCCGTGTCGCTGCTGCTGCCCTCGTTGTCATCTGGGAGGAGATGAGAAAGAGTGATACAATTAGTGTGAAGACATCGCCTTAAGCTAACATACTATTTATGTATTGTAAAGGCATGCGCAGCTGTTGAGAAATGCCACATTACAGATGCAGATTATTATCATTAAGCTGTAATGTGCAGGACCCTATTTGACTGGCTGTCTTCAAGATAATGCATTTATCTAGTCATTGAGTAATCGTCTTCTGTCTTGTGTCATTAGCTGTTTGCACTCACCGATGACTATGCCTCCAATGGCGCCGGCCTTCTGGATGTGTCTGGCCTTCTCCGCGAACATACACTGTCCCCTCTGAAGCAGAGCGATGTGGCCCTGGACATACTCAGCATTGGTGATCTCAGTGCAGCCACTGTAGGGTTCAGCCACAGTCACAAAGCCACGTACCTGCACACCGGAGGAAAGATTATTATTATCTCTTATTTTAGAGAATGAAGGAACACGTTTTAATACTATGGGATGTACAGTGCTACAGTCTAATCCCACATGTTCTCTTCAGCTTGAATATTCTAGGAGAGGAAGCGCTCTCTAAAAAGAGGGAAAGTGAGTGGCTCTCTTAGGAAAAACAAACAGGAGGACAGTTAAGTTCCCATTTGAAACCTGGCAGCTTGGCAGAGATACAAAACCCACTCACCCCTGTGGAACTTTTGGACAGGTCTGTGCCAAACTGTGCTGGGCCAGCAGTCAGCACAACCCTGCCAAAGAATGGATGTGAGACGATCTGAATGGCTCTGGGAGGCAGCTGCTCTTTCTGCTGCTGGCTGGACAGCTCCATCATCTCCTGCATGAAACGCACACCGTCCTCTGCTGCCACTGCACTCACTGCCTGCGAGCCAGAGTGGGAGAGGAGAGGAGAGGACAAGAGTGAGGGTTTTTTAAAGTCAGGACGGAAAGAACACCTTTATTTGCAGAATTGGGACAAAGAAAAGTCTCATGATACAATGGCACCAGCCGCACAGTATGTTCTCATTTAAATAATAGTACAGATGCAAAAGCTGTTACATTTTGAAAGGCGGCATGCACTTTAGTAACAAATCAATGTGATTGGTTCCTGGTTTCTCATTATAAATAATGTATCTTTCTATTTTAAAAGCTGAGTTTTGTTCCTCAGTTCTAGAGATATCGTATGGTATAGAGATGATTATCTTGCAGTATTTTGCACATTGCAGGATTGTGTGTGCTGGAAACAAGTAACAGTGTTGTATCATTAGTCATTCCTACCTCTAGTGGTTAGAAAAAAAACAGCTGAGGAGTAAGCATACCATTAAGAAACTGAATTATTTCAGCCTTGGATTGTGTGTTTTTTATGTTTATCCTTGCTGCTAATCTGTTTACCTGTGTAGCGTGCTGGACCAGCTGCACCCTGCCATCTTTCAGGTGGATGAGACTGACTCCCATCCTCCTCAGCAGCTCCAGATGTTCAGGGTTGTTTGCCATGAAATCCTGAGCCCTGAGAGGAGGGCGGCCCATACCGGGCTCCCTGAGAGGAGGGAGAGGGGGAAAAAGAGCAAGAAGTTAACAAACATGGAAGAGCTACAGTAGTTAGGGAAAATAGTGCAGTGGCCTGTTCCAGAAAGCAGGTTTAACAAACTCAGCCTGAGATGGGAAACTCAATAGTTACTTAATCAAGTCAGATGTACGTTTACTCTGAGTTAAGCATGTACCATGGGGAATGAAAAAAAGCCATCACCAGTGAAGCTTTCATACTATGATTCACCATGGCAACGGGTAAACAAAAGAGCCAAGCCTCCATTTTAATCCAGTGAAGATAGAAATGTGAATGCATGCCAATCATGGATGTAATAATAAGACCTGATTCGGTGCCGCAGACAGCCTTGCTTCCAATGTTTCCCAGTGGGCGCTCACAGTATTGCAGCCCAAAAGGCATTTTCCCCATAAACCACCATTGTTACAGAGACATTTATCTTAAAAACCAGGAGTGAGGAAAGGATTCAATATATTATATTATACAATATATTAACATTTTATATTCAGCATAGTCAACTCATTCATTATTTACCAGACTTGAATTTCCTCATTGAATGATAAAGTGCTAGAATTCCACTGTATGTTACATTTGATTTTTAAATATATGTATTCAGCTGTAGATGAAAATATGGAGCAAACAAGACATAGCTCACTCACGGACCTATGATTGTAAAGTAATAATGATTTTGGTGATTTGCAGTTGAAAAGGTTTAAATTAACTGTATTTCAACATAGTTGCTGAAATGCTATCAAGATTATATGCAGCCTATAATCAAAAACTCACTTTTAGTCCAGCTTTAGAATCAGGTTCACTATAATCATCCTCACTCAGAAACAGTCACATGATCTCCAATATGATATGCTAAATAACTATGATAGAATTGCTCCATCAGTGCGATAATCAACATGACAAGTTACTGTTCATTGAACCCTTTCTTAAGTGTCTAAGGCTTAATACAGAGTTGTTTTATTTAAACAGTGATTACTCCAGTAATGCAGTAATCAAATGTTCAAGAGCAGGAGAACTGTTTGATAACCTGACAGTCTTAATGTCCACAGAGTCACAGTTTTATGTGACAATGTATAGATTTTATCCTTAGCAGAGAATGAATCCATCATTCAGAGATCATGTTAATCATGTTAAAGATTATGTTTAGTCCTTGGGTAACAACCTAGCCAATATATAACTGGGATTTCGGTATTTCTAAAGACGCAAACATCTGCAAATTAATGCATTTTGATATGTGCTTTGATATTGACTGCAGCAAGGAGGAAATAAAACAGTAACACCTTCAGACTCAACAGGACGGGAGGAGTCAGAGAGAAATTCAGTTTGTTGAGGAAAACCTGCAAGCGAACAGGTTAGGTTACTATCGTCAACCAGAGTTTAAGTTAGCTCTCCCATCTTATCTCAGGATTAACTAACTCACGCTTCTAACCTGGTTACACCTATATGTATACATACCTGTAAGGAGCGGGACGGGGGCAGCTCTTGTCCACAGCGCTACGGATTGGTTCTCTCAGGTTACGAGGGAAGGCGGGATCAGGAAACAGGAGGCGAGTGTTAGGGCAGGTCCAATCAAAGTTAGAGTCATCCAGCTCCTCCTCTGACTAGAAGTATCATGAGTATATTAAAGATTCTGTTAGGAACTTGAACGTGTAAATGCTTTCATCAATTTATCAGACTTAAATTACAATGGTATCATGTCGATTACCGTTCTGTTGGAGGGAATAGATGAAGAGTGGGGGGCTGTGGATAGGGACAGGGGCAGCAGGTGTGCCTCGGTCGTGAAGACATAGTCCTCCACATCAAATGGTAAGTCCTCTGAATCGGCAAACAGCAGGAACAGGTATTTGAACATCTCAGCCAGGAAGAATGAGTCCATTCTGACAGGAGAGAAGAGGTGTAAACACAGCATATATATATATATTTCCTTAATCTCCTGCCACTAAATGTAGATTTTTTAAGGTGATTATAGCATCATCAAATTATTCTGATGTTTTTTTTTCTTTGCTTACTAAAAAAATAATTGTGAAAATTGGTGTGAGAATTGGTCATAAATGTCTCTTTTAAAATGATTCTTTATTAAAAAGTAAATAAATCATCTCATTGTATCTAAATGGTGTCTACACTTGCAGTTTAGTAGTATATTATCCGACAAACCATTGCACAAACAGTCTTTCCTTTCTCACCTGTCCTCGTGGCTCCCAGTGCGTACGTCCTTCATTGCAGCGAAGCCGCAGGGGACACGAGCAAAGCGGTTCAGGTTGTCCAGGATGGTGCGACCTGCCTCCAGGTAATAAGGGTCTCCTGTGGCCTGAGAGGATGAGGAGGACAGTAAGGTGATCGCAACAGAGGACAACAGATCAACTACAAAATGATCTCAATGTTTTATCGTATTATGTTCCTTCATATATTCTTACAAGACACCAGAAAGCCAAAGGCAAAGTATTATATGATAATGAACACTAATTAGTGGCCTGTATTCTGGGGGTTGCATAATAACTGTAGAAATTGAGATAGTGTTTCTGAAATATTGTAAATGAGTCCTGGTGTACCTAGAGACTTTGGTCAAATGCCAGAAAGATTAAAATGCAAGTTAACAACATTTCACAAAACCTGGCACATGATAATAGACATTTACCTCCATACTGTGGCAGTGAAAAGAGAACGTATGCATTATGTCAAGCTCCCTTGATAAATTACCTTGTAAAGGAAATAGGTGCTCTCTGCAAACTCAGGCCTCAGGGGATGTTGGGCCCAGTGTACCCTGAAATCAGTAGTGAAAGCCTGCGGATAGACGGAGAAGGACGAAGGGGTCAGCACACCATCCCAGGCGTTGTAATGAGAACAGACAGAGGAAGCTAAAACGCAGCCGTGCCGCGTGAAATGCAAGCTTGTTCACTTCCAAACAAGTCATAAGGGGTTACTTGACTCCATGGTCAAATGACACCATGTCACTTTTTGCGGCACAGTTAAAACCCTAGATGTGGTATTTTAAGTTGGATACACAGAGAGACAGATTACCTCTGGGAGGAAGTTGTGTTTCTTTGTAACTTGATACAACATCTCATGAGTCTCAATGGCAGGGCGGATATCTCCCTTCAACACCTGAGACATGAACAGTAAGTACAACGTTACTGAAAGGACACAAGCCAAAATAAGAAGAGTAAAAGCTTCAATTCACATCATCGAATCTGACCTGCAGTCCAGGGAAGAAGGCCAGCAGAGAGTCCATCCAGGTGCGAGCGGGAAGCAGAGGTTTGTGGATGTGGACATCGAGCAGCAGCGGAGGCTGGCTAATGTATTTCATTATAGATGCATAGTGCTAAATGGAACATAGAAAGCAGAAAGATTGAGGATAGAATTACAGTCTTATGCTGCTTGGTTGTACACAAAGTTAGACCAATGTGAGCCTGAGGAAAATTATTTTCACAAACAGAATCATCTTGAAAAGCACAAACATGTGACGCTGTTTTATGTTGAAGAGACCACTGTGGCAAATTGCTATTATGCAGACACAGAGGCATCATATTACTCCGTACAAGTGTGTGTGTGTGTGTGTTGTGGTGTGTGTGTTCGTGTGTGTGTGTGTGTGTTTCCTCACAATATTGAACCGCTGCAGAAACAGGTCATCTCCCAAGAGGATGTAGGCCTTTAGCAGGTATTCATAGTATGAGTCAATTCCCGCTCCAACTCCACTGTCTGCAGACACATAATCACATGCAGACTTTAAACACATCACTTTATAAAACAAGAGAAGAAATTAGATGATATTCTGTTATACCCATCAACCCTCTGTTCAATCAAATCCTCTCTCACCCAGACAGAAACATTACTCCGCTACAATTAACTTTTCCCATGTCCATATCTGCCATAGCCTCCATAAGCCTGATTTATACTTCCGCGTCTAATCGACACCGTAGCTACGGTGTAGCCTCATACCCTACACCTCCCTCCTCCAGTTATGTCACCCCAGAGGTCCTTTCTCCAGCCCTTCTCTCACCTCTGCGGACCCACTCTCCAGAATGGATGTTGATGGTGGTTCCCACCAGATTGCTGTTTCTCTGTCTCTTCTCCCACAGAAAGTCCATGGCTCTCCGGGCATGGGCCTGTGTGTTTGAGGAAGGGTGCATTATTGATTGAAAAAGTAAAAAATCAATCAATCTGCAGTAGCTGTTGTCCACTGTTAGAATGATTAAAGTGATTGACCTGCTTGTTCAGCAGTCTACTGCTGCCAGGAAGTTGAACCAGGTCCAAGGCTTCTGAATATCATAAACTTTTTCAAAAAATACTTCACTATACCACTGCAGCTACAGGCTCCCCACCCCTCATTTTATCGGTAAAAGAAATCTTATAAAAAGGCAAAAAAAAAACTTAGGTAGGTTGATCAATAAGCACGAGAATAGAGAGTATTTCCCATTCACAAATGTCTATGTCTATTTTATTTTAACCTTCATCAGTATTCCACGACTAGGTCTTTTTCACGCACGACATTGTGACATGTCACAACAGGAAAAGCACATGTGTAAATCATAGAATTAATGACTGCTGGATTCATTGTTCTTGGTGAACATGAGGGTATTTGATGACAGTTAAAAAGAAGATATTCACAAGGTATTGTATCTTCTTAAGAGAGGTGAATAAGCCCCAGTATCCCCAAATACACTCAATGTGTTCAGTTGCCACCAGGAGTTATGTAAAGTAGAAAAACAACTAAGAAGATTGTCACAAACTACAATAAAAACTGTATGATTAGATCAGAGGGTCTCTGGGTGTTCAGGTGTTCCCTGACATTAGGGTTAAATTAATCATCATTAATCATTAAAGTGATCAATATGCTACACCTCATTTATCATCAATATATATGATTATAGGAGCATTGTAAAGAGGTGAACAGTAAAATAGGGGGATTAGGACACTGAATGAGTCACTCACTGACTACATTAGATACATGACAAATACCATATTTCACACAGTGTGTCATCAAACAACAGGGTAGTTTCATGAAACCAAGTCTCTGCAACCTGATCCCAAAGAAGATAAAATGACGAAGCATAACCTGGCTTACAGATAAACAAAGAAAGATGAGCCGCTTGTAGGGTGTGGCTGTTTATATCTGCTGATGGTTTCCTTTTTAGATATGCTGGATGAATATATTGCGTCCTTATTTATTGAACCCCAGAGTAAGTTTTGATTGTTGATATCTGAAATGATTTTCTTATAATCAATGTGGTCAAAGCAACTGCAGTATTCAGAAATTAAAATCTTAAACATCTGTTTTTAAAACTTCCAATAAATCATAAATTACAACGTACTAATGTAAGCATAGGAATTTCTTATTGTCTGATGAAAATGTGATACCTCAAACACAGGATCCCCAGTGAAGCGACTTAAGGCAGCAAACTCCAGGATGATGGTTCCCGCACAGGCAGTACAGGTGTCTGTTTCTGTGCCGGTTCTCGTCTCAGGACCCCTGACACCATGTTTCAAGTTCACCTGTCAAGCAGGGGGGAAAAAAATACATTACACAATCTGTTTTGAGTCACATTTGGTTTGTAAGAGAATGTGCATGAAAACCAGTCAGACATGAAAATGCCTGCATTCAAAAGCTGTGACAGCTGCGAGCAGAGCGGTGAAGCAGAAAATGAAAATATGTGGTCATGATCTGAGAGAGTGCAAATCTGTCATACTGCAATCTGGGAAATATGTGATAAGATCAAATACGTTTAATATAGACATTGTTTTATTCAAGATGAATTCTTATGCAATACTCAAAAATAAACGCTGGAAAAACTAAATAATATGGGTCTAACAATGACAGGTATGTAATCCACCTCCCCACAGTGCATGTAGGTTTCCTTGTTATTAAGGGGTTGAATTTAGGTATTTCTGCCTGTGTGTGTTTGTCTCACCCTCGGATAAGGCAGGCCACTGCTGGTGTTGAAGGCTGGCAGCAGTCGGAGGCCCAGGTCTTTGGCCATGTGCAGGAGCTCATCCTGGTACCACTGCATGTGTTGACCTCCCTCCTTCAGCATCACAGCCATCGAGTGCCCTCCCAGCAGACCTCTAAAAACACACAAAAACAACATTTTAACAGTCAAGTACAGCAGAATCCTTTATCACGGAAGTCTTTTGGACAGCTGTTGTGTTTGCTGCCTTTCAGAAAGTCAATAAAACACCACGGCACTTAAAGGCGTCCCCCCCTCTCCACCGAGGACCTGTGGATATTAAGGGAGTCATAGGTAGTGTAATGTAATAACGTGGTACAGTACATTAACAGTTTATTTCTTAAGTATTAATGTGTGTTTATATTCTAGTCCAATCTTACCCAAGAACCCGAATGTTGGTTTCAAAGACTGACACCACGATGTCGTTGTCCAGCCTCACATCTGACAGCACTCTCCTCACTGCAGCCTCAAACTCTGTCGTCTTGTTCAAAAGCTGGCAATGAGAAATAATACATGACGATGAACATCTGGCTTAATTATACACCATTTCATGGTGTAAACATTCACTGAAACATAGTATTCTGCAGAAGGCTGACCCCAGAAACATTGAATTAAAAGCTTTGATAAAATTAAGTACAGTGTACAGTGCATATAATATATTACTCCAAAATCATCGATACTTCCACTGTGTTCAGTCCTATTCATTTAAATGCCGCCTCAAAATTACAGTAACCAAGCATCAAAAATACAAAACTCACCACCAGAGTATCCAGAGTGTCTATGAGGGTCAGAGAGAACCTATCAAAGAAAGATATAAAACTGTTAACCAAGGGTGTTAATTGGCCTTCATAATAATCGTGTCAAAACATTTCCCATAATGATGTTTGTTTAGTGTGTTTAAGTATGATCTGCCTCGGCCAGTTGTGGTAATGTGTGTGTGGACAGCGTGTGCGCATGGACCCACGTCATCATTGCTCCGTTAACACGTTAGCTCTCAAAGAATAAAGGCAGCTACTCACTTTCCCAGAGCGTCGTCTATGTCACCTCGACTGGGTTCAAGCCCACGTACTCTTCCTCTGCATGTTAGCGGCATCAGCTCATCTGCTGGGTATGCGTGGTCCTGGGAAACACACACAGACACTTTTAACACCATGTTTTTACCTTCAATTCAAAACTGGAGGAAAAAAAACACATTTAAAACGTGTAATTATGGTTCTGTAATTAACCATTACCGAGATAATAAATTGTTTATTCTACTATAATATGGGTCAGTATGGGTAGGGAAGAGCAAATTGTCTTGAAAATCTATCTTGAATAAAATCCTAATCTCAAGGCTGCTTCAAAAAGACTTCCTCAAACTAGAAATTCCTATTTCTCTGAAAAAATACAGTGAAAATAAAGAAATAGACAACTTACCATATAATTCTGATATGCATGGTCAAACATCTCAACCACTTGGTTCCTTATGGGGAGGAGGAAAACACAGACACAAGTCAGCAACGTGCGTAACATCTCTTCGGGGGTGAATGTGTTTCTCCTCACATCACGCTCTGGGGGCTTGCTGTGTGTTCTTCTCAACTCACCTTAACCTGCTCTTCTCCTCCCGTGACATGGCCTGTCCCTGGCTGCATATTGCTCCAAGGAGCATCGAAAAGAACAGCACAGCTGGCATTGTGGTAGCTGGGCAAGATCGCAGCAGTATACACACAACTACAGTTTGGCTCTCAGACAGTCACTGAGCAAATACCAATTCATTACCACTGCCCTAACCAAACCGCTCAAACAAACAAAAGCACCTAAGAATCCGAAACCTACACCATCCCATTAATGCTATGCCTGGGAGATCATGTTAAAGCACTTGTTGGCTTTGCGTAAATTGTACCACCTAATCATCAGTGGGTGCAGGCATCATGAAATAAAAGGGTGTTGCTCAATCTTGGCCACTTAAACTCCATCTGTGTTTTCCTCTGCGAACACAATAAACAGGTGTTGCAGCCCACACTGCAGTTAAATAGTTTGATTTGAGTTTGGTATTTCAAGTAATCAGATATCTAAGAGTAACTGAAGGCGATGTACCAGCCATTAGTTGTAGTGCAAAGTTTCTCCTCCAAGTCGGTGTGTCACACCTGTTTACTTTTCCTAGCTGTCACCCGGACCTACACGGCTGTGACACGTTGACGTGCAAAACACTACACCTTACGTGCAACTCTGCCTTAAATCCGCTAAATCAAATGAATCCTGAGACTTACACATGAACATTAGAATAATTTTATTTTCAAGATGTGGTCCTCACGAAACAGCAACCAGGGACAATTCAAGCCTTTTTCAGGTTATCAAGACACATCATTATATTTAAGAGTCACTGTAAAAACAAACCGAGCAGCGCGCACAGTCCCTGTCTTATCCCTGTGTTTATAATTCCCCCTCTCGTATCGTTTACTCACTCCACAGTCAATCAAACCACAAGTCCTATAAAGCCCCTGTTCGTACCAGCTCCCGTCATGACTCGGGTGTGTGTACTGTGAAGATGTAAGTTAATTATTTCCTCCTCTTGGCAGATCTCGTCCTCCAGTGAAGTGAGAGCAGCAGCCGAGCACTTGTTAGGGTTTAACAGTTAATTAGCCAGTTAGCCCGCTGTGCTAACTAGACGAGCCGGCGACAGCGGATAGACCGAGAATACGAGACAACTCGACAAAAGTCGCGTCCATTGTCCAGCAGCGGACCCGACCGGGCTATTGTTTCTGTCCTTCGGGGTTTTAAGTGGATAATTTCGCCGTATGCTACTGTTTTGCCGAGCTAGTCTGTCTTCAAAACCGGATGCCGATGCGATGAAAACGTCAACAACATCCGCTTCCTGGATAAACTAGTAGGTTTAATTTCCCCTGAGTTTTTGCTCCTCAGGCAGCCGATCTGTAAGACTGACTATCGCCTCTCCTTTGTTGGGATTTACAAACGTAGGTCTAGACATGGTCGTAATCCTGCCATGAAGCATATAAGCATAACCAATTGTTTGAATTGTTTTAAAGAGGTTTACGTACATAACAAATAGGTGGAGGGGCTTCCTGAAAGTCCAAGTTACGGAAATAAAACATCAGACACAATTGGCCCGACCACTTTCACTGGTGTTGCCTTTCAAAACCCACTTTCGCGCAACCAAGCGCTAATATTTCTAAGTACGGTAATACCAGAATGTAACCCTTAATAATATATATAACTCGAAGAGTATAATGTTTTTAAAATAATAAAACACCATGGTAATTTTTACGTGGACTCAATTATTAAATGCAACTTGTTTATCATTAAAGTGAGCAGCTTGTTCGATATAGTTTATATGCCATGTGCCCACAAAAAGGAACATTTCAGCTCCTTGGATATCATTATGGATGCATGGATTATGTAGTGTTATAGGTGACTTCCATTTTCCTTGTGTATCACTTTGTTTTTGGACATTTTAACATTAAAGTAAATTTGTCCTTACTGCATTTAAAGCAGCGCTACTGTCTCATAAATGACAGAATAACGACATTCAAACCCCTGAATACGTTTCAAGGCTATTGAAAACACAACAAATGTAATTTGGATATCTCCTCATGCACAATTGTAGGACTTTAATGTTTATCAAGGTTTATTTTCGTGTTTTCCGTTCCTTAACTCCATTTCCCATGAAGCTTTGCGGTGTCATTTGACTTCACGTGACAGGCATATCAACAAATCCCTGAACAGTTTCCTACCAGAACTTCCCCAAAAACCAAATATATGTCCACAACGTACTGAAGGAGACGCCAGTACTGGTAGGCTGGAGCTGAAATACACATTCACTTCATAGTTTTGGACGGTATGTATGAATTTCCTCTTCATATAATATATAGATACAACCTCTATGTATGTCTTTATTGTTTACATCACCTGTATGCATACGTGCATGATGTAGGCTAACATTTATGAACGAATTTGAATTAATGAAAATATGCTCCAATAGCTTCTTTCTCTCTTTCTTTTGCACCTCATTCTTCCTGTCTTCACGTCTCTCCTGTCTTTCTTTCTACCTATCTAACATGTCCGACATGTCTGTTTGGATGTCAGGTACCTAGTCATGTCAGCTATGGCTCCTGCTGCTCTGGAAAAGCTGACAGGGCTGGTTGCAGCCACATTTACTCCCTTCACCACTCAGGGGTAAGCATTTAGGAAATCACTTCCCTTTATCTGTCTCAGCACTTATGTGTTTGGTGTGTGTGTGTGTGTGCGTGTGTGGTGTGTGTGTGTGTGCGCGCGCGTGTGCGTGTGTGTGTGTGTGTGTGTGTGTGTGTGTGTACACATTCAGTCCCCCTGTAAGAAGTTAAGAATGGGGGAATGAGTGTGGACACATCTGAACACTGTGGCCATCATAAACTCCTGTAGATCTGAGGGCTGTAGTACGAAGGGAGCCGGGAACAGACAAACTCACACTGGTGTTAGACGGTACAACTACGTTAGTTAGGTCACTGTCAACTTACTCTGAGGTTGTGCGTGTAGAGGTGAAAGAGGCCTGTTCAGCGGCGGGAAAAATGTCTTGTCTATTTGTCGCCAGAAGAATATGCAATGATAATATCAGGATATGAGGATTACTAAAACGTTATCTGTAGGTGCCAACAGTGACAGTGATGCTTGTTGGCAGCGCCCACACAGTATATTCATAAGTAACATTACAGTGTTCATGTGGTAGGTTCTCTATTTATCTCTTCTTTTATCTTCTTTTATTCGTGATATGATTGACTAGCAATCACATTTCCGAGATTAAAGTGGTAAATGAACAGAAACAAATATCCGAAGTTGGTCCTAACAGGGATTAAAGCAAGAAGGTGAGCCTGAAAAGTTATCCGTGTACAGTGTATTTAATTTGAGGTATTATATGAATTTCAAACTGCTCTATGCCTTAAATCAGACATGCTGCCTGAGAACTTTGAGCTCTGATTTAAGATCTAGATCACAGAGGATGAAGGACTACCTGTGTGAATGTAACGCTAGAATAAATTGCACCTTCTGGAAATAAAGTGTTCTGCATATAGGCCTAGTCTGTGTATATTAACAGCCTCTTTGCTCTTTATAATGATTAAATGGGAACATAACAAATGCATTATGGCCCTAGAAGCCAGCATAGATACTGAACAGATACCTAATTCCTTCAGATGAGAATCGATATACTTCATAGAGAACATCATCGGGGGAAAAAAATAGACGGCCTCCTAACACCCTCGTCCTCCTCAGTGAGCCTCTCACAATCCGAGCGCCAGCGTCTTCAAAATGTGCCGGTATTTTCCTCCACAGATTGTGGCTGGAGGAGGTTTACAGGGTAACATCGAGTTAACCTGGAAGATAACCTGCTCGAAGCAGTTTAGACATAGAGAGTAAATTGCCATGACAACACACCTCGGGTGAAACTCATCCACTTTTTTGTAGTTAACCTGGGAGTTACAGCTGAGGCTACAGAGTTATGGATGGATGAGTCAGTGACCTCGCTTTGTACTACAGCCCCCTGGAGTAGGCCTACTGTAGCATGTTTGGGTTTTTTTTTTGCCAAATGTGTAGACCTATGTTTTTCACATTTTCTCAAAACAGTGAAATCAACCTATCAAAGATTGGACCTTATATTGACTACTTGACAGAGAAGCAAGGTATAAATAGCATATTTGGTAAGTTTACATGAAAATTCTTCCTTTTGATATTTGTGTTTGTCTGTGTTCCTATTTGAATCAACCTGATTTTGCATGTTTTATCTTTTAGGTTTGTAGACAGTTGTGTCACTTGTCTGTTAACCACATCAATCATCCTTACTGGTAAAAAAAGAAAAGTTGCTGAGTCAGGCTTTTGTGAGGTTTGATAACACCCTGGGACACCAAACCATCCATAGTCTAGTTTAGGATTATAATAGAATGACCAATCACTTCAATAATAGTTTTTCTGACCTTTTTAGCCACATAATACATATTAAATTCAGTCTGTTAGTACTCCACTCTGTAGAGCTGTTAATGAAACACGTTGCTTCATAGTGTATGATTCACAGTGATTTCACCATTAGCTTTTTGCTGATGTTCCTACATTAAAAGTCTACCTTCAAACTAAAGAATTCAGTTCTTTGAGTGTGTATATTGTTTTGTCTCAGGATTTGGTTTGTATCAATCTGTTCCACACTAACAACCTTGAAACAGACACACTGAGAAATATTAGATAAAGATATAAAGTCTGTCCTTTTCTCTGCATTGATCAAGGCTTGTCAGTGTTTCCTGTGTGTCAGAAGTGATTACTGTTTAATTTCACACTGTTCCCAAACCCAGTGAATCATCAGGATATGTGCTGAGCTTATGTCTGTGTTAACATTCCCATTTCCATGCAACCTATCTGTGTGACCTTACTCAGCAGAGGATGTTTCTCCTGATCTTTGTACCTCATCCTGTTTTCATGTTCTTTCTCATCTCGCTGTCATCATCTGCATTCGTGCTTATTACCCATGAAATTGTTTTGTCCTGGCACATACTGCCGCTGTGGTAGTGGAGCCCTTTATGAATGGGCCCCACCAGAGGTTTCCCTCTCCTTGGCTGAGGGTCTGGTGGGGCCAGGTAGGCTGAGCTTGGCAATGTAGCCCCCTAATTGCATGAAATATAGACATAAATGAACTTATTGCATTTATTGTCTATATTTCATGCAACTAGATGTCTTTTGTTTCCTTTGTGTTTTGTTTCCTTTGTATGGCGTGCTTTACTGTAATGCATTGTTTTGTTTTGTGAGTGTTGATGCATCAGAGCTAGATTCAGGTCAGCTTGTTCTCTTTACTTAACTTAATATAAGATGTGCTTTTCTGATTTAGGAAATGCCACGTAAATAAGACAAACTTTTACTTGCTTGCAGTGAATGGCACCACCGGAGAGAGCATGTCTCTCAGCATCGCAGAGAGAAAGCTCCTGGCAGAGGAGTGGTGTAATAAAGCCAAGGGCAAGTAAGTCATTACACAACATCTGGAGATTTGTCCATATTTTGAGTCTAATTCCGTTAAAAAGTTGACAGTTACTGACGTTTCTTTTGTGTGCGCAGACTGGATCAGGTGATTGTGCATGTGGGCTGCATGAGCCTTAAAGATTCCCAAGAACTGGTGAGTTGCTGCCTTTCATGTCGCAAGTGTGTGATGTGTGAACATTAATCAAAAACACATGATGACTCACAAGGCGAGCAGGCGTGTTTAAAGTTATAAAATCAAACTGAAAAATACTTTCAGTCAGAGCTCATACCTTTTTACAGCCTGTCACAGTATTCTAGTCACCATATGTGTTTTTAGATACACTGTGATTTAAAATAGAGCTAATACATACTCGTGATCCACCTTGAACTCATTGGTCAACAACATGCTCCCAAAAGTTCTCCCATGGCTTTGTTTATTGAAATCTTTCAATCTTCTTTTGTTTTAGTATTTTATTCTCCTCCAACATTTATGAAACAACCCTCTGGAACTTTTCCAAATTTATATTGGATTATTAATTAATATTTCCTTAGGGCAGGGTTCTTATGTAAAAAGGAGAAAATGTGTTTGTTTCCACATTTTACAGATTTAGTTCTCAAAGGTGTTTATGATGAAGAGTTTTTATTTTTTTTGATGGCGGCTACAGTTTCACACTGCCTCGTCAACGTAGTTTAGTCAGTGATTTCCCACATTTCAGTCATTTAGTATCATTTAGTATTTGCAAGCGGAGGCAGTGAGAGTGAAAGACAAGACAGCAAGTTATATACTCTACGTACTAAAAATCCAAATATGTCTTGCTCCATTGCAATCTACTTTGTTGGTATAGAAATTGGTATCTCAGCCTCTAAAATGTCCTCTTCTCTGTATGAATGTTGAATTATGACACGCTCTGGCATCTAGAATGAGCTTATGCTCTTTGATTCAAATGATCTGGCACTCGGGTGTCCCTGAAATATGTAGAAATCAGTATGTGATGGCATACTACATCTACATTAAAGGAACGGTTCGACATTTTCATTTTACGGGCAATATGTGCCACACTGTTTCATGGCTCTGACCAGTTGCCAGGCAAGCACTGGAGAAAGAAGTTACTGGTTCCAGCCAAGAAATAATCTGGTACATAACTCCCCATAAAACTAAACAAATGAGATATAACATGTGAATTGGTGAGCTTTAGTTGTGCTGGTAGGCTGATTCTGTTGCCATTTAACAGAGCCAGGCTAGTTGTTTCCATTTATTCTAGTTTTTAAGCTAAGCTAAGACATTTGTAGCACAATTGCGAGAGTGGTATCAATCTTCTTGCCTAACCCACTCTGCCAGAAAGCAAATAAGCATCTGTTGAACTATTCCGAGTACATGACCTGAGCTGATTGAAGTGGTTCTGGATGGATATTTTTTTAAACAATGGGAATGAAACCATAGGTCCATACACTACAGTGATTGTATAAACTACAAATAAAATGTTCCTCTCAATGCTACTTTCCCTCCAGGCTAGACATGCAGCAGAGATTGGGGCTGATGCAATAGCAGCAATTGCCCCCTCCTTCTTCAAGCCCAGCACTGCAGGTATGTGATGGTTTTAGTTTTCAATACTGTACTTTATTAGTTATAAAGTACAACTTTCCATAATGGAAATCTCCCATATTTCTTTCCTTCTCTTCCGGCTTCAGATGTGTTGAAGAAGTTCCTCCAGGAAGTGGCTTTAGTTGCCCCAACTCTTCCCTTCTATTATTATCATATCCCAGCTGTCACAGGTGTTAACGGTTAGTGCCACTGGGGATTGATTTTGCGTTTTGCATTTGCACACCATTCAGAAATAGAGAGACTCTGCATCAATATCGACAGTAAAAGCGTGTTGAATTTCAGATGGTCTTTTTGTCTTTTCCTCAGTGCTGGCGAGAGATGTGTTGGAAGATATTGAGAAGCTCATTCCCTCCTTCAGAGGTGTGAAGTTCAGTGGGAGTGACCTGATGGACTTTGGCCAGTGTGTCAACTACTGTCAGCCTGACTGGTCAGTCCTCTACGGCATGGACGAGGTCAGTGTTTTTCTCCCTTTCAATCTGCTTTGGTCCATCTGTTTTGTGCTGTAGTTGCTTATATTGCAAGATGACCTTGACTATAGAGCCTAAAACAAGCTTTCTTTTATTTTGCTGTAGCAACTGCTTGCAGCTCTGGCTATGGGAGGCCAGGGAGCAGTTGGCAGGTCAGTGTGTAAATTCTGCGCAATGCTTTGTCTCCTTTTATTCTCTCTGATAAGTAGTTATTAACATTTGAACTGTTATTCATTTATTTGCCTGCAGCACATATAACTACGCAGGATGTCATGTCAACAAGCTCATCTTAGCATTTGAGAAAGGCGACCTTGTCCAAGCCAGGACAATACAGGTACTGCCCATCTCCCTGTTGTTGTCCCCAACTTCTCATTGATATTTTGCATCAATTTTGGTTGCTAAAATCTTTGTCTAATTCTCACAAACAGTTCAAGATGCAAGAGCTCCTCAGTTATGCCACGAAACTTGGTGAGAAACGGTCTTGTCAAGATGTTTTTATGCCAGCTTATATATATGATAAACACACGCTAATGTACCGTAAAGTTTCTTTATCTTTGAAACAGCCTCATTGTCATTGACAGGCTTTGATCTGGGCGTCAACAAACAGCTGATGAACGAGTTGTCAGGCTTGGGTCTGGGTTCCCCTCGACTGCCAGTGATGCCATGTCCTCATGCTAAGGCTCTGTCCATTGCACAGAAGTATTACAGCATTTTTCATAAGCAGTAAGATTTTCTCAAAATCAACATTTAGTGCCTTAGACGCACATTGACTGTGATGGATCCAATTACTGTATGTGCATTATCTTATGCTACGAATTATAAATTAAACATTTACACTTTGCATCAAATCGTTAAATAGGACAGGAATAAACCAAATTGTATTTTTCCCAAATAAATGCTTCATTTGCATTAAAATGGCCTTCTTCAAATAGTTCCGGGTGCACAGTCAGAACACAATTTAGGGTTAGATAAACTGGAAACTAGATCCTAAATCATTTTTAAATTATACAGCAGTTTAATTTTAGAATGTCCTGGAACTTCACACTACATTTTACTGTGGAGATTTAAACACATTCAAGTAGAATAGGCTATGAACTTTTACACTATATAAATTGAAAAGGAAACTAAACAAATGTAAAAACTAAAATGCTGGCATACCAACTGAAAAAACTACCAATTACTACTTTAAGGGATAGCAGTGCTACTATCATAAAGGAACATTAGGTTATTAATGATATCTTAAGAAGTTTTTTTTTTCATCGCTGTATAGGTCTGAATACAAGATAGACACTTTTTTTAATGAATCTACCTTTGCCAAAGTTAAATGAACAAGAAAAAGAAATACTTGAGGCCCTCCATCTCTGAGGTAGAACACTATTAAATGCTTGTCAAATGGTAAATCACCAGGATTTTCTAAGTGCTGGTTTATATAATGACATTTTACAGAAGCAATCTATGCCAACCTGGGAAATTTGGATTTGGATGATTACCTTTTTGAAAAAATACTAGCAAAACGTTGAGAGAAAGTTGTATCCAGTCTAATTCACTCAGGTAGGCTTTATACGTCTTATCTAACAATATGAGGAGGCTTCTACAAATGATACAAATGGCCAGCTCTCTCTGACATCCAGTGGCAGCAATATCACTGGGTGTGGAGAAAGCATTTGACAGAATAGAGGGGCCATACCTGCTTTATGCTCTTTCCAGTTATGGTTTTGGTCCAAGGTGCTTACAGTGGATCGGAGCATTGTATCATGAGCCTCATCAGTGAGGAGCAATATCCTAGTTTCAACTCCTTTTCATCTTTTCTGCTCCACCAGACAGAGCCGCCCCTTGTCTTCATTATTGTTTATATTAGCTTTAAACCAGTAGCTGGTGCAATCCGTAGGGATAGGGAAATTACAGCCGTTCTAAAAGTTAGTCATGACTTTAAATTAAATATGTATACAGATGATATTTTGTTGACCTTGTCCAATCTATCATACTCTATACCAAAAGCAATTGGCAGTCTCTCAGGCTATAAAATAAATTGGACCACTACCCTACTATACCCTTAAATCACTGTACATACATTGCAGATCTTGGACCAGCGCCTTTTATCTGGAAAGCAGAGGGGATGAAATATTTGGAGGTATTGATTATAACACCTATTAATAAGATATTTGATTTGAATGTACAACCTTTATTATACTCTATAAAGAAAGACCTTAGAAGCTGGTCAACCCTGCCTCTGTCCTTATGGGCCTAAGTGCTGATGAAGAACATTCTCCCAAGATTATTTTTTGTATTTTCTTCATTTACTCTGTATATTGCAAAATCTTAATTTGATAATATAAACAGAATGTTCTCATCTTTTTTGTGGAAGGATAAAAAGCCTAAAATTAATTAATCATTACAGAGATAGAAGGGGGTTTTGGAATCCCAGATGTGTATTTGTACTATCTTGCATTTAACACCAGATTCTTTTTTATGTAGTTGGGATTGGCTTCAGGAGGGCCTTGTAAAGGACACAAATAAATCAATCTCATTATCATCAGTATGGTATCCTGTTCCACCTACAAAGCTAGATAATAGTATTCTTAAGTTCTCATGTGACATTATTAAAAAAGGGCATTAAAAAAATTAAAAAGGTTTTGGCTTCCTGTCCAATATGGCACAATACTATTGTTAAAGCTGCAGGGAACCCGCTGTCAAACAACACTTTGCAGTGTATCAATATTACAGAAATTTGACAAATTATAGAGAATGCTAAGATTGAATCCTTTAAGGAGCTTAGAAGGAGATATAACTTGACTATGAATGCATTTTTGCCATATGCTCAATTTAAATACATTTTCTCAAAACATCAATTTGGAAACAAATCAGGATCAAGTTTTGAAATGTGCCTCAGCATTGTATATCTTATCTCCAAGTAATACAGACTACTACTGTGCACATGAAATTTTGGGTTCCCCCCTTGGCACACTATGATAATGAAATTATGAAACCCCTTTTTTTACTTTACTGTTGTCTTGGTTGTGATTTTGCGAATTTGTTGCTTTGGTTTGTGACTTGTTCTTCGTATTGATGCTAAAAGTGTAAATTAAAACAAAAAGTGGCGTAGGGGATCACTTTAATGCACTAGGATATTTTCATGGGCATTCTCCACTGATATCTTTTTCTTAATGGTGCCGACAGTTTTGTTTTGGATATTTTTGGGGGAACTCGGGAATGTCACAAATCAGTATTATTATTCTATGTAAGACAGTTTTGTTTTGGATATTTTTGGGGGAACTCGGAAATGTCACAAATCAGCAGTATTATTATTCTATGTAAGACTATGGTTGAATCTCATTTTAGAAATTTGAGCTTAAGATCTTAAGCTGACTCCATAAGAGGGAGGATAACAGAGACAGAGGGTGCATCAACATGAGTGCCGTTTCAAGTGCCTGACAGCATTAAACATGAGATTCCACCCTTTGTTTTGAGTTACAATGCATAAGTTCTTTGTAAATGTATATTTTCTGAATGTCATATAAAAGGGAAATGTACTGTGTAATGAACAAATCTTTTATTATTATTATTATTATTATTATATCACATAATCACTAATTTCTTACTAATAAATGCATTAATCCATTAATTGTGTCACACTGATTCATGTCTCTTTCTTATGGCCTTATGTTATGAATACATAAGGTCATATTATCTTAAAGACCTGCACAAACATGCATGTGTTTCTTTTATCCTGCTCTCAAGTTCTGTATTCACTAACATTTCAAGACATAATGGCTGCTAAATTCTTTTGGCCTGAGGCTACACAGACTACAATTTCCTGTTTATTTGCAGGTCATGTTTGCTGGTTGCTAAAGAGTTTGGGAAACTTAAAATAAATAATTTGAGGCCAAGTAACACAACCTGTGCACTTCTCAGACTACATGAGTTTGCAGGTTGCCATCATATTCTGCAGATGGATTCCACTAATTAATTAAATTCAAACCTGGATTAAACTGTGGCCAAAGTCCTCTACAAACCTGATTGTCACTTCTGTTGTTCCAAATTAACTTCTAATTATAAGGTTTGGTAGTGGGATTAAATACATCTCCTTCTCTATTCACCACAAAAACACAGTGAACTTGTATGTAAACAGATATTAAACACCTTTGTGTAAAGCTGTGCCATCCACTAAGGCAGGCATAACCACCATTTATGCATTCTGCAGCTTTGTAACTGTCCTCACTAGTTTACTCATCCCCTGTTGCTCTTCCTGCGATTTCTTCCATTGTTTTTTTGTTTACATTTTTTTGGGGGGTTTTTAGGAGTTTTTCCTTATCCGAAGGGTCTAAGAACAGAAGATGTCACATGTTTTACAGATTGTAAAACGTACATTTTTTCCAATTTATTCCAAAACTGTATGATTTTGACAGAAGGTGAATGCAGAGGGCCAAGAACAAAGCCCTGAGGTACTCCATATTTCATGTCAGAAACTATTGATGTAATATTATAGGAAACACACGTGTTCTTACGGATAGGTAAGATTTTATCCAAGTGAGAGTCAGACCAGAGACACCAAAGGTGCTATCTGTTACATTTAACCAAGTAAGTAGTATTCACACATCTAGTTAACCTGTACTATTGACCATTTTTACCACTATTACTATTATTAGACCCAATCACAGGGAGCACTGCTTTAACAGGCATGTAAAGCAAAGCATTCATACAGTACCAATGAAACGTGTTCCTCTGCAACACAAAAACACATTACACTTATTGCAAATACACATATAAATATTTTTGTTGCTGGAAATGAGAGTCGTCGTCAATTGAGTTTCAGTTGCTTTATTGTGACCATATATACTGTCATTGATTGTGTATATATACCTGCTTCCCTGCCATGGTTGCGTGCCATGTTAACAGATGGAGCCTGCAAAAAGGGAGGGAAGATAATATAGGATGGCACTTTAATGATCCCCATGAGGACACTTGGCTGTTGGAGCAGAAGAAAATAAAACAATGGAACATAAAAAAGAACATTACATAACAAATGGTGATTAAACGATGCTTAACTGAGGGGTAAGCGATAACTCATGAGTTACATAGAAATAAAAAAAACTAAAACTACAGTGTTTAGTGGATGTACAAAGTAAGTATTATTCTACTGTTGAGGGAGTTTCTTGTTAAAAGTGCTGAGTCACTGTACAAAGAATAGTTTTTGTAACAGACATGTTCATCCTTGGTTAGCCACTCCCACAGTAGATGGTAGAGTAGTGGCATGAGGTTACTCCTGTATCTTATTATAAAGCACTTTTGATATATTAATTCTATCCATGTTGGGGGATGGAGCCTTCTTGTTCCACATTGCTCTGGCGTCCTTGTAGATTGTTCTTTTCCATCTGTATTTCTATCTGTTGTTTGTGTCTTTAGACACACTCACTCCACACCTCTTATCCTAAACATTCAGTTCTTCTTAACAAGTAAGGATTTGATCACCGTATTATTTTTGGATTTACAATGAAGTGAATATGTTTGGATCACAAAGGGTTAAATGCATTACACCTGAGACATCAGAATAAATGCTGATTATATAGTATGTGTATGATATGATACTAATATATTTAGTACAACCAAATTTAAAAAAGGCTGGTTTTCTATTAAATAAATATCCAATGGTGGGATACACGCTTCTTATCTCTATCTTCACTCATTCCATGTCTCGCCTCCAGGAAATATCAGACAGGCAACAGACATGCCGAGTGGCAGACGCTGAGGGTCACTTGGTGTGGGTCTGACGTGTCAGGGCTGCAGACTGTGACAGTGACTCCCTGTGGACATGCCACCTGACTCACTCACAAGCCGCAAGACTGAGAGCTTGTGAAAGGGCTGGCAAACTGTTTCACGATCTGGAAAGTCCTTTCTTTCCCTCTGCATCTCTCAGCAGCCTAAACGTAGATTGGAGGAAACTCTCACTATGGCTACATGCCGTCTCACAGCTTGGTTATGAGTGCAGACTTAGTTGTGTATTAGTTTTAAAATGTGTTTATGTGCATGTGTGTTCTCGCTGGCCTTTTGTACCTAAAGTATCAATTATTAGCTGCACAGTTCTTTGTGGAGCTCCATCACAATCTGTTGGTTTAAAAAATAGTATTATCAGTTTATTGGGGGAAAACTAAATGCAATGCTTTGAAAATGTATTTTCCTTTCAAGAGATGAAACAAAATGCTGTCTGTAACATTCACCATTTGACAACAGTTCCCATTTATAGTTTATTGAAAAGGGAGGAATAGGATACATCATTTAACAGCAGTTAAATTTTAAGCAATTATGAACTTAAATAATTGCTGTAAAACAATTAGTTTAAAGGGGGAAGTCACTTTCTTTATGTTGTAGAAGAGCGTGCTACTGAGGATTTCTCTAAAGTCTAAATGTGAACAATGCTGCCCCCTGTTGCATGAGTCTCACACATACATTAAACTGACTCGTTTCCATACTTTTACGATATGATACGTATCTATGACTCATTTTGACCTTTGGTTGCTCCACGGTGTAAAGGACAATAAGCGATTGGTGAAGCAAGAGTGATATCATTCTGTGCAATCAGCAGACTGGAAAAACAGGTTTTATATTCACAATAAAAGCATCAATGCTTTACAAATGAGATACAAAGTATGTATAGTCGACATAATTTCCAAGCGTCTTGATGGATTTGATAAAACTAACTTTAACTAATTGTCATACTTGTCAGAAATAACAGTGCTAGTGTGAACAAATTGTCAAATTGACAAACCCAGACTAACTGTACTTGTCATGATTGTTAATATGACATTTTAAATAATAATTTGTAAATCATTGTAAACACATTTGAACTCTTTAATTGAGAGATATAGTAAATCTTTATTGTTTCACTTTTTATCAACCGTACAAATTCATTCTTGACGTTGGAGACAGTGGTCAATGATAAAATAACAAGAAACTCAAGGTCCACTAATTATTATATATTATTAGCTTTTTCCTGGTGCTATGTAATAATAATAATAATAATAATAATAATAAAGATGTATAGGTGACAATTTCACATAATATATGATGACGATAGTAATAAAACACTCATAACTAAAGTAAAGTACAAATAGTGACTATAAACATTCAGTCATTGTAGACAATTTTATAAGTCAACGTTACATTGACATAATATAGTAAATGTTGTATTAACTCCTTTATTATCCCGTTTTTATTAACCATAAAATTCTTTCTTGGCGTTTGAGACAGTGGTCTTGGTTCTATATAACAATAATAACAACAACAATAATTATTATAATAAATAAATAGGCTATACGAATAAAAATACATACATAAGTTACATTATTAATTAATAAATAATAGAAAAAATCGTAGAGGTAATAATTTCACATAATATCTGATGCTGATAGTAATAAAACACTACAATAAATAAAGTATATATATAATAAAGTACCAACAGTGATTATAAACATTCAGTCATTATCGACAATGTCATACGTCAAAGTGACGCGGAACCTGTGCAGTTTCCGCATCGAGAGGACGGACTTATTTAACGGTGACACACAAAGCTCTAGCGTTTCCGGCCAGCTCAGCGTATCAGCCCTGTGGTGTTGTCAGTGTACAGCCTGTCAAACCCTGAACCACTTCACCTGAGCCACTTCCCCTGAACAGTTCCTGGGCCGCGGACCAACAGCTGGATATCGCGGAGAGATGGTGCTGCTGACGATGATCGCTCGGCTGGCTGACGGGCTTCCGTTGGCCGCCTCGATGCAGGAGGACGAGCAGGTTGAACACATTGAGTTATTCTGTCCCTGTGGTCTCTCTGCTGGGGGGGGGGGTGTAAAATGCTTCTTGGTTTAATGCTTAGGTGACACGTTAGCTACCTTACTGCTGTAGACCTGTGGAGCTGTACACACCACACACACACACACACACACACACACCAACAAACAACCACACGCCACAGGAGAAGGGAGGAGAGAGAGCTCTTTTATTACTCACCCAACTGACTCGAGGGTTAAAAGAGGTATCCGGTTTTAGCGGGCCTTTTCTGTTTTTTAGATCTGTTCAGTCATTGTCAGATTGACAATGTCAACCGGAGTTGTGAAT